AATGCTTAAAGAGTTGTCTTACCTGACTCTTATAAGGCCAGCTCTAGGTGAGATTTCATTTCTAAATGCATTACCAATCTGGGCTGCAGCAAATGGGAGTTTACCTTGGTTAAATTCAAGAAGTCTTTTAAAATTTACAAAAATGCCCTGAGCTGTTTCTGGTCTCAAAAATCTATATAAAAAAATAAGACATAAATTTTGAAATCAGGAGATGTGGTATGACTGCCAATGATACAACTATCCATAAAGACCAAAGGACAAAGTTGTGAACAATTACAGGTCAACATAAGACCTACAACTATGAGCAAAACCCATACCACATAGTAGGCTATATTCTTAATTGATTTAAATATGCCGTTTGATAAAAGTATTTCTTCACTGTAAAAACATGTGAATTGTCTATAGTAAATTAGTATGATATCATGCAGAGTCCTTTATCAGTGACACTTTGTCCTTTTCACATATCAAAATGCAATGTAAAAATACTCTTGTTTCATTTGTTGAAATCTGTGAAACAGAGGCAACACAAATGGACACAACTCCCAATTTATAGAAACCACTGTGGTTGAAAACCAAGAGTTAATATGCAATATGGTAGAATTCATTAAGGGTAGCAATCTCTCAAACTGAGGTCAACCCACTGGTCAAATGAAATCTGTAATGTTTTTGTACATATTATTAATTCACATACAAACTATTTTTAAACCTATCATTTTTGAGCTACAACTATATCCAAACAGATATATACTCCTCCAAACCACTCCACTTACCAGATACTAATGATCAATCATTCATAGTAACTAAGGAATAGACCTCATCATCAAAATATAACAGTAAAGTTTCATTTTATGCACAAACTTCAACAACCCACAATAGTAAGGGCTTATATACTAACCCTTTTATATGACCAGTTGGTCCAATTGATGTAGCAAACATCAGATTAAACTCCATTGGTTCTGAGAGATCATTTCCTGTTATAGGGGACTTCATGTTGTACTGTTTAATTGTCTGTCCCATATCATCTTTACTGAAACCATCAATCTACAAAAAAATTAAACAGTGATAAAGCTATATTTTATAAACCAATTACAACAGGATAGAACATTTTACTACATATTTTCATGATTTCTTCTACATGTGCATAAAAGACTCTGTATTGCCAGTATCTACTTTCAGTAATAGTTTGATCATGCAATCTGTATTCCCAATATGTGTGCTGTCTAACTACTTCTGATTATTTTTCAGAAGCCCCTTGTTTGGAGAGTGCTATGAATCTCTCTTAAAAGGAAACTTGCAACAACTCACCAAGTGGTTCAGCCTGTTGCTAAGCCAAATTTCTGTCCTTTCTCACTTGTCCAGTAGCAAAACACCTTCTGTCTAGGTCAATCCATTGTTCAGAACTACTTATTTGTTTTACTTGTTAATTTGTTGTTATCATGAATATGCATGAAATATTTGCAGATGGACATTAAGCAAATAACAATAACATTTACTATTAAACCACATATAATATTTATATCAGTATTATGAAAAAAAATTGTCACAATTTTATTAATAAGTTAACAGTCTTAGAATTTTATACAATACTTAGGTGAGTGTTACTTATTTTGTGGTCTGCTTACTTGATTTTTTTCATTTATTAAAAAAACTAAATTTCATTCTTTTTTATTCCTGCCAACCTTACAAATATATTATCCCCGAAATATGAATTAACGAATCAGGAACTTAAATTTCTCTGGAGATTCATCTTTAACATCTAACATTAAACCATATTCTTGAATAAATACTCTCAAAATGTTTTACATGCATATCATATGTATGAAAGTAACATAAGCACTAGTGGAACAATTCCCAAATTATTCAAAATCTTTATGTGGTTCGTTTTTCTTTTAAGAATTTCTTACTTATCTGAGGCACCATTAAAATATGTCAATAACAATCTTAATATTAAACCCATTCCAACTTAATTGGGATTATTGAAAGGAAAATATTAAACATTCAAAATTACACTTTGCTTGCATGGTAAATTTTATGAATCTCTATCAATACAATATTAATTGAATAAAATACTACCATAGCCAGTAACCTCCTTATTTCTTCTTTTTTTTCTTGGTTTATTTTCTTGTCTGTTGCTAATTTCTCCAGTTGAGCTGTATGTTTAATTGTAATGAAATAAATTACATTAAAGAAGATAACATTGCAAAGGGACAAAACAGAAAAGGTATATATAAGGGATTGAGCACACACAAACATCTTAAACACAGCATCTTTCTGTATGTGCCTCTCCCAAGTCAGGAATCTATAATCCAGTGGTGGTCATTGGTTGCTTGCTGTCATAATTGGTTATCTCTTTTGAACTGTTTTGCTATTGTAGGGTCTTTAAAGAATACACAAGTGTATGGATTTTGCTTATTGTCGAATACCCCAATGTGAACCCTAATTGTTCACATCACAAAATATACATGTATGTCGAAAATTGTAAACATTGTATTAAAGTGTGTTATAATCATGACGAAAGTTATAATTATAATCTAATACATTATTTTTATAATGCAATTTTCAAATTCTTATCTATTTTGAAAAAATTGAAAATATCAATAGTTTTAGAAATGACAATCTGACTAAAATACAGATCCTGTGTCCACGCTTTGCTAACAAGGATCTGACACTCAACTGACATACCCAGAGTCCTCCATTTTTTTTTTTCGGATCCTCTGGATCCTCTGGTTTTGTAGTAATGGTACACACCTTCAATAATTTGAAGGCTACAATTTCATTGGCTGACATAATAATTACCAGGCTTTAGAGACATTACAGTTTAGCAACCAGTTCGGCCAAAGTACACTTATGTCTCACATGATTAAGACATAATATTTCCCTTTGACTTTAGTGCTTAATTAATTTTTTTTGTAACAGAGAATAGAAAATAAACAATTTGCCATCCATAACAAACATTAGTATGAGAAACAGGGACACCAATGACTGATTGATAAGAACAACAATTTTCTTCACTTTTAAATAGCTATAATTTCTTGTTCCATATATTACAAAGTTCATTTTTATCACCATTTTACCAATATTCCTATAACATTCATAAATTGATACACATTTTTATCAATAATATAAATGTATAACTAAAATGTATTTTGCCATTTGTTTCTTAACGTCTCTTTCTAAAAACAATTATCTTTTCCTCCCTTTATAGCAAAGAAAAACCATGGCTGAAACGACTATGGCTGTAAGGACTGGGGTCAAACTGGCAGTATGGCCGAAACGTCTTACATTGATTACCAGAATAGAAAGTAGAATCATGTTTTGTCAGATCTTTGTAAGTGAAGCATGGACACTGGAACTGTATTTCAAACAGATTGATGAAATGTAAAACTATTTCTTATTGGAAATATCTATAAAGAGTTCTTTACCTTCAATAAGATGATCTGCTCTGAAGCATTCACCAGTTTTTAAGTCTTTCACCATATAATCCTGGAATCTTTCCAAATGACCAGAGGCCCTAAAAACACAAATAATTCATTTCAACAAATGTATCACTGTACAGTTATTCAGTAGCATTAAAATTAAACAAATGGAAAAGTATAACTGGATAGACCATGACTATAAATAGTACATTTTTTAAAGTGAATGTGCGGACTAAAGATTTAATTAAAAACACAGACCATGATGACCAAGTATATGTTATTTATGATTTATATGAAATTAGGTAACTCCTTGAACTGCATCTGGATATTGGCAAAAATCATATATGTTGTTTTATTCCTCCAAAGAAACAATATAATATTAGTCAATTTAAAAATTGTGAAATACACGTATAAAAGTATCATATGAGATTATATGCTGTTTATGTAAACTTGTAGAAACGCTAGCCTGTAAATGTAGAAATACTAGACTGTAAATATACAAGATTATATGCTTTTTATGTAACCTTGTAGAAATACTAGCTTGTAAATATACATACTTAAGTACAGTTTCAGGAGTTAACATAGAACAATCTACTTCTAACATCTGCTCTTCTAACACAAAGAAGTTTCTCCATAGCTGCAATAAATTGGCCTTTACAGCACAGCCCATAGGTCCAAAATCATACAATCCATTTATACCTGTAATTAAATCCAAATTAGCCATTAATACTCAACATGTACAACTTGCAAAGTTTAATTTTTTGTCTTTAAGTCTACTTTCACTAAATTCTGTTTTACAAGATAATAAATTTGTTCTGAGAAGGACTGTCTTATTAACTAAAAATTAAACATTGTATTAAGCATTGGAAGGCAATACTAAACAATTATTGTCTTTTGATTTATCAACCACAGAGATATGATATTCACCGAGGCCAATGGAATGTCATATCTCTTGGGTTGATAAATCATTGTATTACTGATATCAAAAGTCAACAATTGTTTTATTATATGACTTTTTTTTATCCATCTCCAATTTTCTAGTATTTGTTCAATATATTTAACTTCTCCTTCTTTTTATACTAAATAAATTATCTGCTTTGGCAGTTTCTCACTTTAATAAATTGAAATATTCAATAAAATTCACTAAAAAAAATAAATACAAATCTAGAATAAAGAAGAAGAAAAAAGAATATTTGCAAGACGTCATAAACCCAAGTCATTGAAGTTGTCTAGGAAAATAACTATTTAGGTTCACGTTAGCTGTTCAAAATCTTTAACCTCTCATTCTTTAAGCCAATGAGAAAAGAGAAATTTCATAGTCATATAATAATATAAACAAGCATTCTGTGTGTATTGCATGGCAATACATAGTCCCCTACCAGTTAAAAATTCATTGTAATGGAGCAAACTTACCACTAAATTCTTCAAACAAATTACTAAAGAAAATAAAAAAATCCAAAATGTCATTTATCTTAATACAATGTCTTTTACAAATCTTTAAAAAAAAAGAAGAATTATTTCCCTTTGAACAGAAATCTAGTAATTAATAATTATTTCATCAAAAATTTAATTCTAGGCAAAGTTAAATAAAATGCTTCGCTGAGCGCAGCTGGATACGACAGCAGAGGTCCACCCCTGAACAGTTGGGGTGAAAATGGACACAATATTCGCGCTTGATACAGGTCTGAATTTGGATTGTAATTAAATATTTGACACATAATAGGTTTCTGACACCGAATAACTGTAGTCAAAGAACTTAGAATTGGTTATAAGATTTGAATTTATATTCAATTTTTTGCTTTTGTGAAATACACTATGCTGTTGCGTATTGCCCCCCACAATTTCTTTTTTACCCCCTTCCTCCCCCCCCCCCCCCCCCCCCTGCCCCCTTTTCCAAAAAAAAAATTCTTTCCCTGAAGATATGGTCATAATCTCAATTCAAATTTCCAATGGAGTTTGCAACCATAATATACAATTTAAATACATCATAAAAGTCTTAAATAGATAATTTAAAAGCAGTGTAAGGGAGGTAATCCAACATTGTACAACATTGTACAATTTTGTTTTTGGATTACCTCCCTTACACTGCTTTTAAATTGTCCATTAACCAGGAAACCCTTGTTTTTTCCCCTTTTTTGCCCCTAATTCCTAAATGGTTTTAGCCATAACCCCCCAAAGCCAATCCTAACCATCCCTTTGTGGTATGAAAACTTGTGGTATAATTTCAGAGAGATCCATACACTTAAACACAAGTTATTGTCTGGAAGTTACAAAAATGCTTATTTTTGGCCCCTAATTCCTTAACTGTTGGTACCATAACCTCCAAAATCAATCCCAACCTTCCTTTTGTGGTATTGAACCTTATGGTAAAATTTCATACAGATCCATTCACTTAAACTAAAGTTATTGTGCGAAAACCAATGTGTCTTTTGACGACGACAAAGGCGACGATGACACAAACGTCAAACCAATATACGACCGCAAAAATTATTTGCGGTCGTATAAAAATGAGTTAATTCCCTTTGAACAGAAATGTAGTAATTAATAAGTATTTCATCAAAAATTTAATTCTAGGGAAAGGGCTTTAACTGAACAAGGAGAAAAGCTAAAATCGTGAAAATCGAACTTGGCTGTAACTTGTCATGATAAAACGAAACACCAAATATCAAATCAATATCTTCAAGCATGAAGAAAAAAAGTCTAGAAAATTGATTTGCGGGACTGACGGATGGACTGACGGACGGACGGACAGAGTGCAAACCTACAGTCCCCTTCGACTTCATCGATAGGGGACTTATTAGAGGTATAATTGTAGTTGGTTCAACTACAATTCAACAATTATGGACGGGAAGATATCTCCAAAATATTACTTTCACAATTACATCATTGACATTTTTAGCACAGATACTAGATTCATGCACCATGCACAATTAATGTAATTTTCTTGACAGTTTGTTTATATACATCATTTTGTAACTTTAATATCTGAGTATGCATTTAATTGATAAATTTCTTTATGTATAGAATGTTGTGTTCAATGCACTATATTTTAATTATCTAAAAAGTAGTGATAAAGTCTGGAAAATATATAACGATCAAGCCAGCAACATAAGGGTTTTGTTGCATGAAATGCAATCTTTACCCAAAAAAAGTCAAAGTCAAGGTTTTATCTTAAATTGTTCCAAGACATGTATTTTTGCCTAATCAGCTTCAACATATGTGATACATACCTCCATATATAGCAAAAGACTGATCAACAAAAAATTTTTGTTTCAGCAAATCTTCTAATTTGGCCCTATCAAAAAGATCCTTGGGTGCAAGTTCCAGTTCCTGAAAATATATAAAAAATAGCTGTACAATAGTTATTCTGTGTACATGGTGTAAGAAATAAAAGCACACTGTATCCAATTACTTGTGCCTATCAAATCACAAAATTCTGCAAGTTACACCTAGGAACCCATAGCAAATGAATTATAAACTTGCAAGCATGTTTTTGCCAACAATCATTTATAACAGAAAAGTATAATTCAGAAATAAATTTAAAAAAAGTTGTATAGGGTTCCCGGGAACCCTGCGTCTCGCCTGCTATTGCTGCTGTCAGTGTAAAAGTGTAATGTTGACTTAAGAAAGTGAGTCCATTTATCACTAAAATACAGAATTTAAAAAAAAATTCAAACTTTTTCTTTAGATGCTATTTCTAGGTCTTGAAGATTATTTTCTGTCCAAGTTTCATAACAATCCATGAAGATTTACAAATTTATCATGTCAAAATTTTTTTATCCAAGACTGTCTGTAAATGTGAACTGTAAAGAAGTCCATCGATCAGAAAAATACTAAAAATGAAAAAAAAAAAATGTTCAAAGGTTTGTTTCAGACATTATCTCTTAATCATTATAAAGCTTCTGCAAAAGTTTTGTAAAACATCTAAAATCAAAGCATCGTGGATGTTGTGATCCAGCCATATTCATAGCTAGTCTGATATTCTTTCTAACCATATTTTTTCAATATTTTTTTCTCTTTTCATTTCCAATCTTACTGCTAAATTTCTATGTTATTGCCCACAGGTAGGGAATTTCGCAATATTGATGCAAATAATGATATATATATTGATATTTCAATTTTAGACTCTGTCAGATATTTTTTTTTTATAAATATTTGCAATTTAATGGTATTGACATGAATGGAAAGGGAAATCGTCAAACAAGTAATATATATTTTTTTATATGACATTAATAATAACTGGCTTAATAATTTCCAGAAAGAGGCCTTGGAAATGCACTTTCTCAACAACAAAAATGAAAAAAAATAATAACTAATTTTTATCTAAATTGGTGTTTATTCTTCATTAAGAAAAAAAACATTTCCTGTATTTAAATGTACAAATACCTAATGCTGAGATATTTCCAATTACTGTTAAATGCAGAACAAACAAATAAATTGTATTGCAGAAAATGCTCAGGTAAGAGTTATGCAATTTTGTTTATTGTTTCAACCAAATTTCTGATAATTGTAACTAATTAATTAGATCTTGATTATTGACTTATGTCAGATGATAATGACAATGATTTTACAAGTGAAATAAAATTTGCTTGCATTTTTTTTTACATTTTTTTTACATTTTTTGTCTTTTCTTTGAAAAAAAACCAAGCCTGATTAATCATTCAGCTAGCTAGCAAAATTAACAGAATATTTTAATGTAGTGTAGATCAAAATAAACAATACATTTGTAGGTTTACTATTGAGGTCAAGAATGTGTGTATTCAGTTAGGTGTGTAATAAATTGTGCCTATTTAATTATGTAACAGGTCAGGAGATATTAAATGTGGTGAATTAAGACTGGGGTTGTTTCCAATTAATACTTACACCTCTGAATGTAATTATTTGAAAATCATGACAGTTTATAATCATACTGACTCTTACTTGCCTATGGAAAGAATTAGAGTAATACCATTTCAAAAAAGTGTGGGAATCAACTTAGATATATATAACACACATGTTGACCTGAATTTCATAGAACAAAAACTTACACAAGCATAAGATAATAATATAATACTTTCAAAATTGTTATCAACTGATTCAATTGATGTAAAAATACTTTTTCAAATTAATTCATAAATAGTAAATCATTATAAATTTTGATTTACAAAGAAACTATATGCAAGTGTATATCTAAAAGAAAAAGGGTTGTTCGACCAATCTTTTCTTAATCCAAGGGCAAATAACATGTCAAAAGTTGGCAGTTGATGATTAAAATGGTGTAGAAAGTTTCTGCAAGTCATAAAAGCACATAATTAGTTTCATGACATGTCTTCAACTTAGTATTCTGCACCATCTCCAAAAACAGAGTGATCGCATAGATCAAGCATGGCTGAATCAAAAAATTTAGCTTAGCCCTTTCTAGTGTACTTGTGAAGATATATGCAATTTTTAATTTTCTTCTTCTATTTGCAATGTATATCTTGGTAAATCCAAATTTTACATATTCACAACGATTTATATTCAATATGTTTTTCTATACATGGCAAAAATGAATTGCTTAAGAAAATTTACTGTTGTACAGTATATAAATGAATAAGATGATTAACAAGAATGTGTCCATAGTACATGGATGCCCCACTTGCACTATCATTTTCTAAGTTCAGTGGACCGTGAAATTGGGGTCAAAACTCTAATCTGACATTAAAATTAGAAAGATCATATCATAGGGAACATGTGTACTAAGTTTCAAGTTGATTGGACTTCAACTTCATCAAAAACTACCATGACCAAAAACTTTAACCTGAAGCGGGACAGACGTACGGACGGACAGACGGTCGGACAAACGAACAGACGTACAGACCAGAAAACATAATGCCCCTACTATTATCGTAGGTGGGGTATAAAAATCAGTTCAATAATAAATCTTTTGTTAAAAAGAATATCACTGAATTTAAGTCATGCTCAGTCAGGTTAGATAAATGAAGTAATAAAAGTAAAAAGGTTTACCTTGGCTTCCAGAGCATGTTTTCTGTGCTTTAGATCAGCAACTGCTCTCGCTACATCTAGTTCTGGGGCCTTCTCTGTCTTTAATTTCCTTACTAAATCACCCTGCAAAGCCAGAAATTCTGTTAACATTCAATATGTTCATTTCAACTACTGATACTTACATTTTGGAAAGAGAAATGAATTATCTGAAACCAAAATTCATCTGTTGTGTTGACACAGATGCAACAATTGAAACAAATAACAAAAACGTTAATGTTGAAATTGATTGAACTTTTTTCAGGTGTTTTAAAGAGGAGATACTATGAAATTTATTTAATTTGATTAAATTACTGTTACAAATCACACCTTGAGATATTGTCAATATCTTAACCACTGTTTACACAAACATGAACCAACGACAACCACTGAACTACAGGCTCCTGACTAGGGACAGGCACATAAAGAATGTGGCGGGGCTAAACATGTTTGTGAGCGCTCAACTCTCCCCTAACCTGGGACAGTGGTATAACAATACAACATAAGAACAAACTATAATAAATTGCTTCACTGAGCGCAGCTGGATATGACCGCAGAGGTCCAACCCTGAACAGTTGGGGCAAAAATGGACACAATATTCGCGCTTGATACAGGTCTGAATTTGGA